GAAAGCCGATCCGGCAATCCAGAGCGCGAAGTTGATGTATTACCTCAGCGACCAGCACGGATATGCTCTAGGCATGACGAAGCGGATATCGTCTAATCAGACTGTTGAAAGATATTAGTATCTTGAGCTTTGACCTGTGAACTTCGACCTTTGGCAGGACAGAAACCCATTACAAGTGGTACTCCTCCTCCCCTGACCCTACTTACATAAGTGTGCCAGATTTGAAAAGAGATGCACCCATCTGAGAGACACCGCACAGACAGCCTGCACCAACAGTGCCCTCAGCAAGGGCATCCAGAGTCACACCACCCACCGCAGTGTGCACTAAAAACCTCTCTTCCTCTGTCATTCACGTTCTCTCTCTTTCCCACTTCCTTTACATGCATGTCTTCTCTCATTCTTTCTCTCTGCTCTGCCAGTTGTGGCCTATATTTGGCGTTGGTGATGTAGGTCATGATAACCGAACGGTAAAATTAGAGTTGTTTATTCCTTTGCACTACTGAATGATAGATATTTTGGCTATGAACCAACTCTGACACTTGTATATCAGATGCACAGTATTTTGGTCTAATGTTTAAAATAGCTATAATATATAGACAGTAAAGAATGCAGAAATATATGCTAAACATATTTTAATGGGATTTAATTTGTCTTTATGACTCGTTTTTAATACAAATTTCAAAAAATCCTCAAACAAGATGAATTACCTGACAAGTAATAATCTATATTGAGAAGATGTACAGATTATATATTATATATCATAAAATATATATACTGTATATATTGTTCAGAGAAAATGCACTACTGTTCAAAATTTTGAGGTTGGGAATATCTTTTAATATTTTTTATGTAAGTGTCTTATGCTCACCAAGGCTGCATTTATTTGTTACATTAAAAATACAGTAAAAACAGTAACATTGTGATTGTGTGATTAATTACAATTTAAAATAACTTGTTTTCTGTTTTAATATATTTGATGATGTAATTTATTTATGCAATGGCAATGCTGAATTGTCAGCAGTCATTACATCAGTCTTCAGTGTCACATGATCCTTCAGAAATCATTATAATATGTTGATTTGCTGCTCAAGAAACATTTATTATCAATGTTGAAAGCAGTTGTGCTGTTTAATATTTTTTTAACAATTATACTTTTTTTTCAAGGTTAGAAAGTTCAGCATTAATCTGAAACAGAACAATTATAAATGTCTTTACTGTCACAGCTGATCACTTCAATGTATCCTTCTAGAATAAAAGTATTCATTTGTTTAAAAAAATTAAAGTCACCCCAAAAAGTCTGTTTTACCTACTGGTCGAATTTTATATGAGTACAAACAAGTTAAAAATTAAACAATCTGCCAGTAGACCGAGACAAAATCAAAATACACTCAAGCTACAATCTATGAAAGCAAATCGTAATATCTTAAATATTTATAAGAATATTTATTGCCGTTAGTTTGCTTTAATCAGTATAGCAAAATACACTTGTGTAGTTCCTAGAACTTGGTTCCTGAAATTATTTTAAAACAGTGCTAGAAAGTGTATGTGAGGAGACAGAGAGAAAGAGAAATGTAATAGGACTGCATGTCCTCAAAGAAATGAGAGGTAAAACATCATGGGAGCAAAAGGCGTGTTGTGTGTAACACAAAGTGACAGTAAAAAATAGAGAAAGGGGATATCTGAAATGATTGTGGGCAGAGTATGGTTCAGAAGGATGATGTAAGACCCCTACTGGCTGAGGTATGAAATAAACACTTCATAGTAAGGATCTCACACATCCCTGAAAGCCATCACCAGCACTGCAGCCAACAGAGGGCACTAGCAAACCATCCACAGCCTCTCTCTCTCCGCATTCTGTTCAGCTTGACTCATTCTGCCACCTGCAGCCCTCTGCAGAGATGACCCACCCTTCCTCTCACTGATACACTGCAGGGGACCATCAACTGTTCTTTCTATTGCCAGAACCAACAACCAGAGAGAGGCATCTGAACAGAATGGATATGTAAACCAGCATGCATATGCAAAAGAGCAAATAAATGATGATATAAACCAATGATATATGTTATAGCACCATCAGCTTGCTTTTAAAATACTTTGCTAAATGCATTTGCATTGCATTTGTACAATAATGACTATTGTACAAATAGTCTAATGGAGGCTAATGGATCACTATAAAGCTACAAAACACATAATTTGTATGCTCTGACATTTTTTGTGAAAGAGATTCTGCAGAATCCTTGTTGATAACCTTGTAAACAAGAAATGATGCAGATGCACATCCTATCAAATTTGAGCTTTCATGAATTTAGAGAACCTGTGGAGATAAATGGGGATTTTGTGATACATTTGTCATTCATGCAATCTGTTTGTTGTGCTCTGCACCTCCGTTTCATAAAAAATGCATCCATCTGGAGGGACAGAAATCCCAGAGTGACCTTAACAAAAGGTTCAGGTCATTCTGTCTGATAGAAACAGAAGCCAGCAGACACACAGTTCATGCCTTGCAGCGCGCAGACAACAGGGTTAGCCGTTTACAGTCAGCTCACAATAAATAACACTGAAGCGATGATAGTGTCTGTAATTACCCACAGTCTATGACTATGACTCATTGTCTGTCACAATGCTGAAGCACTGACTCAAATCCATGATTCTGCCAAGCATATATTGTAATGAATAGCATACACAAGCACAAAAAGACTCATTCACTTTCCTGTGTTAACCTCGTAGCATTACATTCTGCAAATAGACTTGATGTTTGCCCATAAACCACATATTCACAGCTGGCTGAAGCAGTAATGTCATAACTGAAGCATAATCCATGTGACTCAAGCTGAATAATACACATGATATGCGGAAGACAAAGCAGGTGACATTCATGCACACAGACTGAGAAATAAGAGGTGATACTTTTAAATCTTGATTTGCATGTAGATGTATATCTATAAATGAGCACAGCACATTTTTACCAAGAATGTACAAACAACATAAAAAATGCATATGGTACAAAATCTCATTTTAACACTTATGATGCATATAACTACACAATTTGTAATTTTGTAATTTAATCTAAATATAAACATTTGTGAGTTTTGACATTAATTGTGGTTATTTTTTATGTCTCATTATATATGACATTGTGTTATGTTGAATATCATTTTTTTGTCTTTGTTAATGAGTGGTTTGTGGACACATGATATGCATGTTGTTACTATTTTATTATTATTATTTTTCAATTAAATATGTATTGTAATTGATGGGGTTATTATTCAGTATTTCTGTAAATTAGATGTACATTTCAGATACCTTCTCTTTTCATTTAAACCTATGGGCTAATTAAGTAAAATCATTACATTTGCATTCACAGTTTTGCAATTATGAAATAGATGTAAATATTTATATGCCTGTATTTAAGTCAAGAATAAATTTACCTTTCAGATGAATCTCTTCTACTCTGATTTTGCTTTGTCTGTTATTTCATTATTCAACTAAACTGCCAAAATAGAATTTGAAATAGAATAGTTGATTTTGTATTTTACAATATTGAAACACATATTTAAGTATTAATAAGAATGACATGAAAAGTCATGTATATATTCTGTAAAAAGGCTTCTTGCCACGGATAGGGGGCCATTCTAGCTAGGAGTAATAATTTTACATTTTACTACAACAACTAAATTTGCGTATGCATCCTGCACATGCTGAAATATGTTATGGACACACTTAATAAACATTAATTACTAATTAATAAATAAATCTTATTATTATTTAAACAACAAATAAAAACATGCACAGTAACATGAACTGGGTTGCACAGTACAGGGAAATGAGGATCAGTTTCTTTACACAGCATGAAATCTGCTGTGTGTTTTTCTCACAGAGTCAGCAGCATGTCCCACTCATTAATGCATTGAGAGACTTCGACATAATGCAGGTGGGACTGCAGCACTCCAGCAGTCCAGAGACCCACAGACTTCTAATCCATCTATCTCCCTCAACCAGCCGGGCAAAGCAGAACCCAGTACTGACCCAATTGCACAGAAATTTACACAGGCCCTGATCCCTGTCCTCTGTCAAGGTCTCGGGGAAAAAGATTCAAGAGGCATGACTAAATATTAGACGAAGCTACTAGAAACATGGAGCATAAGTCTGAGACCATTTCAAGACACAATAAACATACATATTTATGCATTTACGCTTTTATCCATACATTGGCAGCATCATTGAACATGCAGAAAAAGTGTGAGAATGTGTAAAACTAGAGCATTTAGTAACTTTTCACATGCAAAACTCAGTAACAAAAATAAAGTTATTCAAAAACCTTTAAATAAAACCCCAACTCAAATCAGTATTCTAAGCAGTAGGTTAGTGAAGCTTATTAAACATCATTTAAATTCTCTTTGAAGACTGGGGAATAGCTGTTGCAACCTGCTTCAATCTGCAACTGCAGTTTAACATCATTAAAGAGTTATAATTAAAACAGATTTCTTTGATTAATTAATAATCAAATCATTAAAGATTGAGCACAAAATGAGAGCAGTGCTACTAAGGTCTTGATGAGCTTGCATTGCAGTGAGGTGGCGCTGTCCAGCACTGCTGGTGCTGAAACTACACTACATACAAGCTTGAGGCATCTGAGTTGTGGTAGTGATTGACACAGAAAAACTCCAATCATAAATATGATAGAAATAATGCCAATAAAAAAAACAAAGATGACTGCTTTTTTAAAATTAAGGTCATTGAAATATTTTATTTTGGGTAAACTCAATGTAAACACAGGCTTTGTGCTGTAAGTTGCATCACATGTGCATGAACCACATTTGCAGCATAATATCAAGCTAGAAAAGTGAATGATGTTTTGCTCCACATCTATATTTTTCTATAAACTAAATACATGCTAATATTACACTATTTAAAAAAGCATGCCTATAGTGAATATACGAATAGTCCATATAAGTGTAATTTCAGCGAATTTATAAACTGAGGTCTTAAATAATGCTCACCTTCCCAGTGGTAGAAAGAGTTTGGGTTCGTGTAAAAGTATCTTCTCCATGAATGCTGATCAGTTCAGCCTCTGCAGGAGGAAATGGCGAAGGGAAAACCACCATGTCGCTCTTCATTGTGTCTGAGCTAAAACAAACGTCATATTGTTGCGTCGATTTGGAGTAGGACCAGCTTCCGTCTGGATGTGTGCTGATCACTGGAGCGCTGTACCTGCTGAAACTGCCATCTGTCCTGTAGCATTTAACTGCTATCAAACCCACAAGACTTAGTAAAAAAGTAACTGCTACTGAGATAATAGCAATGAGCAGATACAGATTCAGATCCGAAAAACTCTCCTCTTTAACAGGAACTTCTCTGAATGATGTCTTTATATCATCCAGTCTCTCAACAACCACAACATCCATGGACATAGTTGCTGAGAGTGATGGCTCTCCATTATCAGACACTGTGATAAGAAGTGGGTGAGTTTTTAAATCATTGTCACTCATTTGTCTCTTAGTCTTTATTTCTCCAGTGCTGCTTCCAATGCGGAAGAGATTCGTTCCTTTGGATTCAGTTAGATGATAAGACAGAAGTGCGTTATATCCAGAGTCAGCATCAACAGCTCTGATCTTGGCTACAAAGTATCCCGCTTCAGCAGAGTAGGGAATGTTCTCACTATTAACTGATCCAGGTTCAGAATAAGGCGGTAAAATAACCGGACTGTTGTCATTCTCATCCAGAATAAACACATTTACAGTTACATTACTGCTCAGAGGAGGAACACCAGAGTCTGTTGCCTGAACATGGAAACTAAGTGTTTTCTGTTCTTCAAAATTGAAAGACTGTAGGTTATACAACTGGCCTGTCAATGAGTTAACACTAACAGCATTTATGTTTGCTTTGTTATCCACAATGGAATAAGAAATTTCAGCATTTCCATTTGAATCTCTGTCAACTGCTGACACTGTGTAAATGAGGGTTCCCGGGGGAGTGTTTTCTTTTACATAGACAGAAATAGTTTTTTCGTTAAATTGTGGAGGATTGTCATTCACATCTGAAACGTCAACATAAACTACACTGGTGCTGGAAAGTGGTGGGGTTCCTTCATCTACTGCTACGAGGGTTACATTATACTTTGAGATGTTTTCCCTGTCAAGCTGGCCTTCCAAAACAACAGAGTAATAATTCTTGTAGGAAGACTCGAGTTTGAAAGGTACATTTCCCAGCAGCTTACAACTCACTTTCCCATTCATTCCACCATCCTTATCGGAGACTGTGACCAGAGCCACAGCAGTGCCAGTTTTTGCATCTTCCCTTAAAGAAGACAGCAGGGACGTTATTACTATTTCTGGTGCATTGTCATTAACATCTATGATTTCAATTAGTACTTTACAATTAACCGTCATCGGGGAAAGCCCCTTATCATGGGCCTCTATTCTAAGTTCATAAAAAGCTTTGTCCTCAAAATCAATGTTTCCTTTTACCTTGAGCTCCCCTGAATCAGGGCTGATTGCAAATACATCAAGATTTTTTTCCTGACCATGACTGCTAAATAAATATGTTACCTCCCCATTTGGACCTTCATCCATGTCAGTGGCATTGAGTTTGATAATCTTAGTTCCTTTTGGTGTGTTCTCTGTCACACTGACTTTATAAAGAGGACTGCTAAACACTGGAGCATTATCATTAATATCTAAAACATTGACAATAATTTGCAATGTGCCTGACCTGGATGGTTTCCCTCCATCGAAAGAAGTCAATACTAGTCGAATTACAGGTTCTTTCTCTCTATCTAAAGCTTTTCGAAGGATTAGCTCTGCAGACATGCCATGTTCACCACCCTGGTTTACTTCTAATGAGAAATGTTCATTAGGACTCAGGTTATAGCTTTTAATAGAGAAAGTCCCTACATCTTCATCCACTGCACTGATCAAGGAAAATGTAGCTCCTGGTTGCACTGATTCAGAGATATTCAAAACCTGAATTTCAACAGGGAATGCAGGAGAATTGTCATTCACATCATTAACGTTAACTATCACTCGACTCAGACTGAGAGGATGGTTTACTATCGCCTCAAAATTCAAGGAACAGGATGGAGTATTAGGACATAGCTGCTCGCGGTCAATTCTTTCAGCAACGTACAAGACGCCAGATTTCAGATTCACATCAAAATACCTCGTCCTCGTGCCGAATACAAGCTGAAATGCCCGCGATTCCAAATCCTGGACGTTCAAATGCATGTCCTTCACCACATTTCCGACGACAGCTCCGATATTTACTTCCTCGGACACGGAGTAGACAATCTGACCATCCACTGGCACTGAAACACACATCACGAGCCAGAGGAAAGTAATATGTGGGGACCTTAAGTCCTTCCTGTCTGCCATCCTTCCGTTTGAGATGGCAACGTGATCAAAACAATACAAAGGTGATCAAAAGAACATCAAAACTTTGTAGACACAATGAAGAATGAGACTCACGGAAACACGCCACGAAAAGCATCCAGACCGAGACTCTCGGTCATAGGACGTCACTCAGCGAAATCGTAGGCGGAGTTGAGACGGTATATGGAAAATATTAAAGTTTAGCGGTCTACAGTGACACCACGCGGAGTACGTGCGGTTCTGTGAGGCGAAACCACAGAAACATGCAGCATCACTTAAAAAAATAACCACGTATTGTAAATTAACATAAACCCCGAAAGAGCTTTGCTAGTCTGAAGAAGTTTGCATAAGCTATACCCATATCAACAACAAACGCGCAGGAGTTCAGAATACAGTAAGTCAGTACAGTATACAGTTAATGATTTTGTGTGAAAACTATATTACATTCGGGCAAACTGTTAATGTTAGAGAAAGCATGAGAAAACTTTTTTTGTTCTCGTATTATGAATGGAACTGGATCCTTTGAATACATTTGCAACACACTTAAATTATTACGCGTATCCAGAATCCTGATGAAATAAATGTTGAAAACATTAGTTTATTGAAAAAGTATATTTTAATGATTAATTACAAGCCATACCTTTTATAGGGATGAGCGAGACAACCCTCCACATACTGTGTCGCGAAAAATGATAGAAATTCCTATAATTATTATACAGATGTTAAAGTTCGTCGAAAAGAGCACAAAATGGAGCAGAGTCAGATACGTACGGGGGTGGGTCATCTAAAAAACACAGACAATATAAATCAACTATCAATTGTTGTATATTGTATTGATTATTAAAGTATTAAAGTGCTTTTGCCTAAAAAGTATTTTTCGTTAATGCTTAGGCTATTGGTTTGTTTACAAAACAGATTTTCATTACAATTTTAATTGTCTTTTAAATTCACCCGTCCTTCACAGAGATTCAATCCTTCGCCATATTTTCAAAAACTAGCCTCCTTTTGACTCCATGGAACAAAGTTCAAGACTTGACAAGAGTATATGCTTTCACTTAAGTGAACCTATTCATTTTTTAAGTGTTAAGAAATTCTAACATGGGAAATGCAACGCTTGTTTGCCATTGCATCAGCCCTGATCTGACATTTTTAACGTAATCCATTGCATTTGATGGCAAATGGGTGGAATTTAACTACAGATATTTACAATTTGAGCAGCAGTGACACCAAGGTTATTAAGTGAATCCTATTTACACCTAGGTAGCACTACAGAGATATAACACATTTAAAATCCAACAGAAGAATTATGTAACACTGGAGTAAAGTATAATTCCTTTAATTTAATATAGCGCTTTTCTGGCTACTCAAAGCCCTTTACATAGAAGGGGGGAATCTCCTCAACCACCACCAGTGTGCAGCATCCACCTGGATGATGCAACGGCAGCCATATTGCGCTAGAACGAGCTTATTGGTGGAGAGGAGACAGAGTGATGAAGCCAATCGGCAGATATGGGGATGGTCAGGAGGCCATGATGGTCAGAGGCCAATGGGCAAATTTGGCCAGGATGCCGGGGTTACACCTCTACTCTTTTTTTGAAGAACATCCTGGGATTTTTAATGACCACAGAGAGTCAGGACCTCGGTTTAACGTCTCATCCTAAAGACGGAAAGTATAAAACAATCTGTGTGTGTACACATACCTTTGAACACGCACAATTTCCTATACAGCTGAAAAATATGAGACCACATAGCCCTACAGATACTATGGCCTTTGGAATGATATGTGAAGCTGAAATGCTCCATATACTAAAATCACATATTTGCTTGATACGATAGTAAAAAGTTACTAAGCTACAAAAAGTTCACTATGATGATGTTTTCGAACTGTGAAATTTAAGTTTTATCTTACCTTGGTAGTGCTTGGAAGTGTTTGAGTCCTATTAAAAGTGTCTCCTTCATTAATGCTGATTAGTTCTGCATCTGGCAGTGGAAAGGTCGAAGGAAACACGACTACATCACTCTTTATTGTGTCTGAACTAAAACACACGTCGTACTGTTGTGTGGATTTAGAGAAGGACCAGCTTCCGTCTGGATGTGTGCTGATCACTGGAGCGCTGTACCTGCTGAAACTGCTGTCTGTCCTGTAGCATTTAACTGCTATCAAACCCACCAGACTCAGTAAAAAGATGACTGATACTGAGACAATAGCGATGAGCAGATACAGATTCAGATCCGAAAAACTCTCCTCTTTAACAGGAACTTCTCTGAATGATGTCTTTATGTCATCCAGACTCTCAACAACCACAACATCCATGGACATAGTCGCTGAGAGTGATGGCTCTCCATTATCAGACACTGTGATAAGAAGAGGGTGATTTTTTAAATCATTGTCACTCATTCGTCTTTTAGTCCTTATTTCTCCAGTGTAGTCATGCTTAGTGTATTTATATTATAAATCTGTGTACTACTTGTTTATTGTAACTGTAATTTATAAAAGCCCTCCTAGGGACAAGTGTTGCAAATTAGCTTCGGCTACAAGCACTATGGTACATGCATGGATGATTGTTTTTACATTTTCATCTATGTTTATTGTATCTGTCCCTAACAAATTAAACATTAAATAACCGATATGACCAAAATGTACGGAAAGAAAAGCGAGGACGAAATGTTCATTGTCCATGGTGCTGAAAACTGTTATAGGATAACATCACCATAAGATTTCGATATTGTCTTTGCTATTCATAAAGCGCATTTTATTGCATTTTGTCTACCACCATTTATTTATACTTGCCTTTTTTTCTGTCACTTAATAATAGCAACGACGACAAAGGCAATGGAATTCAGTTCAGCGAAATTAATTAAAAGAAGCGACAGCAACAGCTTGACTCAACGCATCAAGTACTAAAACAATAAACGAGTAAATAAATAACAAATATACATACTTACATAAATCTCCATAGAATTGAATTCTAACTTTTTTTTAACACATCTAGAGTTCCAAAATCTTCTTACCGTCTCAGTGCTCGGAAGGGTTTGCGTGCGCGTAAAAGTATCTTCTCCATTAATGCTTATCAACTCCGCGTCTGCTGGAGGAAATGGCGAGGGGAAAACGACTACATCACTCTTTATTGTGTCGGAACTAAAACACACGTCGTACTGTTGTGTGGATTTAGAGAAGGACCAGCTTCCGTCTGGATGTGTGCTGATCACTGGAGCGCTGAGACACTGTGACTAAAGCAACTGCAGTTTCTGAATTTGTGTCTTCTTTCACGCTCTCCAGAAGAGAAGTCACAGTTATTTCTGGTGCATTGTCATTTTCATCCACAACTTCTATTAAAATTTTACATTGTGTGCTTCTTGGTGGGCTGCCTTTATCTTTCGCTTGAACTCGTAACTCAATGGCAGGATTCTCTTCGTAATCTATTTGCCCTTTTACAACAATATCTCCAGTCTCGGGGATAATGGAAAAAAGGTATTTTCTCTTGCCATGACCAACAAATGAATACAGGATTTCACTGTTTATGCCTTCATCCAAATCAGAAGCAAACACAGATAAAATTGTAGTACCAGTAGCAACATTTTCCCTCAATTTGACTTTGTAAAGAGGCTGACTAAACACTGGATTATTGTCATTAACATCCATGACGTTTATAAAAATATTTAATGTTCCGGATTTAGGTGGCTTTCCTCCATCTACTCCAGTGAGAACTAACTTAATTGTTGCTTGTTTCTCTCGATCTAAAGCTTTGTTCAGCACTAACTCGGCAGACACACTCTGGTCTTCACTCTGTGTATCTAGACTGAAATGTTCATTCGGACTCAGTTTGTATTCTTTCAGCGAATTACTGCCAACATCAGAGTCCTCGGCTACAGGGAGAGGAAATCTCTCTCCAGGGCTTGCGTTTTCACTGATATTCACAGTAAATACTTTAACAGGAAAATGAGGCGCATTGTCGTTTACATCCAAGATCTTAATATCCACTCTGTAAAGACGATGAGGATTTTTAGCAAGGGCCTCTATATTCAAAGAGCATTTCTGATTCGACAGACATAACTCTTCGCGGTCAATTCTTTCATTAACAAACAGAGCGCCAGTTTTCAGATTTACATCAAAATACTTCTTATTTGATCCAGACACAATCTCAAACATACGAGATTCCAGTTCATGAACATTCAAGTTCAGGTCTCTCGCTATATTGCCAACAATTGTCCCCTTATTTACCTCTTCCGGTACGGAATAGACGATCTGAGCAAACGCAGAATCCAGCAAAAAAAGGGAAAATATAAATCCGCATTTGAAATATCCCTTGAAAACCATGATGGTCATTCTCAAGTGGCAAAAATGTAAACACGAGTATTTCTCTTTTGCATTCAGGGAACACGAGACGAAATAGAGATCATCAATTGTTGCTTGTTTCTCTCGATCTAAAGCTTTGTTCAGCACTAACTCGGCAGACACACTCTGGTCTTCACTCTGTGTATCTAGACTGAAATGTTCATTCGGACTCAGTTTGTATTCTTTCAGCGAATTACTGCCAACATCAGAGTCCTCGGCTACAGGGAGAGGAAATCTCTCTCCAGGGCTTGCGATTTCGGTAATATTCACAGTAAATACTTTAACAGGAAAATGAGGCGCATTGTCGTTTACATCCAAGATCTTAATATCCACTCTGTAAAGACGATGAGGATTTTTAGCAAGGGCCTCTATATTCAAAGAGCATTTCTGATTCGACAGACATAACTCTTCGCGGTCAATTCTTTCATTAACAAACAGAGCGCCAGTTTTCAGATTTACATCAAAATACTTCTTATTTGATCCAGACACAATCTCAAACATACGAGATTCCAGTTCATGAACATTCAAGTTCAGGTCTCTCGCTATATTCCCAACAACTGTCCCCTTATTTACCTCTTCCGGTACGGAATAGACGATCTGAGCAAACGCAGAATCCAGCAAAAAAAGGGAAAATATAAATCCGCATTTGAAATATCCCTTGAAAACCATGATGGTCATTCTCAAGTGGCCCGACGACAGAAAAAATGTAAACACGAGTATTTCTCTTTTGCATTCAGGGAACACGAGACGAAATAGAGATCATCATGTCTGAAAAGCAGAGACACTAACACCAAGATTCTGAGAGAGAGAGAGAGAGAGAGAGAGAGAGAGAGAGAGAGAGAGAGAGAGAGAGAGGCTACAGAGAAAAGACTATATTTTTATCTGTCGCGGTGTTGTGACACTCGGAGCGTCAATGATACTCACAGCTGCTTGCACTCAGGCTGTAGGACTTTGAAACTGAATTCACTCAGAATCTCCAGAAAACTCAAATTCATCAGGTCTCCCTTATCAAGCCCTTGACTCGCGACACGGATGCCATCCCTATACGCAAACCACAAACGGAAAAGGATGAGAGAGAGAAAAAGAGAGAGAGAGAGAGAGAGAGAGAGAGAGAGAGAGAGAGAGAGAGAGGCTTCAGAGTAAAGACTAAACCTTTATCTGACGGTCTGTAGTGACACCATGTGCTGAAACCATAGCCTACTAGAAAAATTCTACTTGCAAAAGATTTAAAGTGAGAAGTAACAATGTATTGATTGGGATGACACAACAGCAACAATAATATTCAAAGTAATCCAATACAAAAGCGAAGCAAAAATACACCACGATATAATGTTACTTAGCAGTCTCAACACTTGAATAATCTAATAAGACGGCAAACAATGTCGTCCAAAAGAAGCACGTGAAGCATATTAAGATAAATGCAAACTGTAAAAATCAGTGGTCGATTAACAGTTCATAACATAATGTTATTACAAAATAATGATCGGGGGAAAACGCGTACGGAAGACTGGAATGGTATTTGGACCAAGCATTCAGGACCGTAAGTTTTAATAATAATAATAATAATAATAATAATAATAATAATAATAATAACAGAGATTGATATTCGTTTTCGGCTTTTCATTTTGCATTTTAATTGCCTATCATCTTGACATAGAGAATTTTCTGTTGTATATATTATTTCGATTGTTTTAATTTTAAATACAAAGTGTTCAATTTGAGGCATGAGAATGTAAAAACACGACTAAAACATCCACCAGACAGATCCAGATTAATCCAACGCAGTCTCTTGAAAATTCATGACTGTTTTACGTTTTGGCAAATTGGCGACATTTGTACAACCTACTTACGCCCCACTGAGGGTTGTGTGTAGAGGTGCAACTTCATGTTTACTTTATATAACAATTTACACATTTTCCTTCGAATCACAATAAATTGCAACTTGCTTGTGATATCCTTAGGCCTACATTTTCTCGTGATAACAGGTTAGATTAATCATTGTCCGTATTCGAAGGCCACAAGGCATAAGAACAAAGAAAAAAAATAAAGTTTCATCAAAACCAAAAAAAAATAAAAATACGTGAAGTGAAAAATAAAACAGCAACTTGGTTAATAGCAAAACGATTATTTAGCATGTATCGGAATTCATTGTGGACAGTAATTCAGAACAATAATTGAGCTCGAAAAATGTATAATTCAGCAAAAGTTTTCAACATGCCTTACCTTCCCAGTGGTAGGAAGAGTTTGTGTGCGCGTAAAAGTATCTTCTCCATTAATGCTGATCAACTCCGCGTCTGCTGGAGGAAATGGCGAGGGGAAAACGACTACATCACTCTTTATTGTGTCGGAACTAAAACACACGTCGTACTGTTGTGTGGATTTAGAGAAGGACCAGCTTCCGTCTGGATGTGTGCTGATCACTGGAGCGCTGTACCTGCTGAAACTGCTGTCTGTCCTGTAGCATTTAACTGCTATCAAACCCACCAGACTCAGTAAAAAGATGACTGATACTGAGACAATAGCGATGAGCAGATACAGATTCAGATCCGAAAAACTCTCCTCTTTAACAGGAACTTCTCTGAATGATGTCTTTATGTCATCCAGACTCTCAACAACCACAACATCCATGGACATAGTCGCTGAGAGTGATGGCTCTCCATTATCAGACACTGTGATAAGAAGAGGGTGAGTTTTTAAGTCATTGTCACTCATTCGTCTCTTAGTCTTTATTTCTCCAGTGCTGCTTCCAATGCGGAAGAGATTCGTTCCTTTGGGTTCAGTTAGATGATAAGACAGAAGTGCGTTATATCCAGAGTCAGCATCAACAGCTCTGATCTTGGCTACAAAGTATCCCGCTTCAGCAGAGTAGGGAATGTTCTCACTATTAACTGATCCAGGTTCAGAATAAGGCGGTAAAATAACCGGACTGTTGTCATTCTCATCCAGAATAAACACATTTACAGT